GACAGACGACGGACGCCGCGCCACGGCATAAGCTCACTTGGCACTTTGTGCCAGGTGAGCTAAAAAAGCACACAACTTGTCCATGATTTGGAAGAATTTTGGAGAGACTTAAAGCCAAAAACTGTTTTCCTTGTTAGCACCTGACACTTTTGCTGTGTCACATGATTTAAGCAAGAAACATATGTTTGAGCATGAGAACAGTTTCATGAGTAAGGGCCCTGGTTATGTTATAATAAGTCGTTTAATTAGGGCCCCGCATCTTGATGCGGGTGCCCTATAGTAATCAGATTGTCTGTCTGTCTGTCCGTTTTTTTTCTTTTGCACAATATTGATGGAAGTAAATGGAGTATGTTTTTAAAATTTTACATGATGATTTCCCATGCATCTTAGTCCTGCTTGGTAATTTTTCGAGCAGATCGGATTATAAATGGCTGCTAATCAGCCATCTTGGATTTTAACATGAAAAAATTCTTTTTTTTTTGCTCTTAACTGGTAAATATTTTGTTATGAATTATGAAGCAAACTTAGTCACAATACAACAAGAAGTCAACTGATTCAAGGTCACTGGGTCAAAGGTCAAGGTCAACAAATTTGTATCTATTCACTAATGAGCATTTTATGACATTATGAAGCAAAGTTGGTCGGAATTAAACAAAGAGTAAACTGACCAAAGGTCAACATCACTCACTAGGGTCAAAGGTCAAGGTCAAATTTACTGATGAACATTTTGTTATGACACTGAAGCAATGTTGGGCAGAATTAAACAAGGGGTCGACTGGTCAAAGGTCAAGGTTAACTTTTGTATCTTTTCACTGATTAAAATTTTGTTATGAAATTATGAAGCAAAGTTGGTCGGAATTTTAACAAGGAGTCAACTGACTTAAGGACAAGGTTACTGGGTCAATGTCAAAGTCAAATATTGTATCTTTTTACTGATGAACATTTTTATTATGTTATTATGAAGCAAAGTTGTTCAGAACTTAACACGGAGTCAACTGACCTAAGGTGCAGGTTATGAGGTTCAAGGTCAAGGTCAAGTTTTGTATTTTTCACTGATGAACATTTTGTTATGATATTATGAAGCAAAGTTGGTCGGAATTAAAGAATAAGTCAACTGACCAAATATCAGGGTCACTGGGTTAAAGGATAATGTCATTTTGGTACAAAGGTCAAAGACAAAGTGGATCTCTGACTTTGACCCTGGCTCTTCAAGGAGGAGGTATTTAAGGTGAAATAAAACAAATCAAAGCTAACAAATGAGTATTGCACCGGTATTTACATGTCTGTTAGCCCAGTAAATATGGACGTGGAAGGAAACAAGACTCGCATCAAAGTACATGTAAAATGTATATTTTGCTTCCTTGAGATTCTTTTTGAAGTCCAAATGTCAAACGTGGAGCTCACCTATATATAGGCAGATTGTTTCTTGATGATTATGGGGGATATATTGCCACAAGACGGGGCCCTTACTGACCTGTCAGTGTTCTAGTTTTTAGCTCACCTGGCACAAAGTGCCAAGTGAGCTTATGCCGTGGTGCGGCGTCCGTCGTCCGGTGTCAATATTTTACTTTAAACGACTTCTTCTTAATAACCGAAAGGCCTAGGGTGTCGATATGTGGTCAGAAGCAAACTGGGATGAAGGGCTACAAAGTTTGTTAAAATTAATGACCTTCACCCATTTTCAAGGTCACAGGGGTCAAATATGTTAAAAACTTTAAACATCTTCTTCTCGATAACCAAAATGCCCAGGGATATGATATTTGGCCAGTAGCATGCTTGGGTGAAGGGCTACCAAGTTTGTTCAAATGAATGACCTTCAA